GTTTGGGACAGCTGCAATATACTCTGAAATTCTAAAGGGTAGAAATAGTTAACTCTTTCTGCTTCTGAGTATAATATAGTAACATTGCAATCACTTTTAGCAGTTACAATCTAAGGACCCCTGAGACTGTTTATCCACATTTCCTAACTGAGTTTTCTGATTTTCTGTCATGCATTCAAGCAAAATTTGATTGTTCGGTTTTAGTTGGTGAATTTATGTTAACAATAAGGCAGGTTTCAAAGGAAATGGCCTTTTAAATTGATAGATTTTAAACAACATACTATTAACGAGCCATCCAGTAATCTGTGATCTCCTCTGTTGTTGACTTGCCTCTCTGAGCACATTATGGGATATTTTTCAATGTCTGTTACTGCACACTGCCAACTCCTTTACAAGTTAAAAAAACAAAACAACACTGTCTTACTCCTGACGTAGCCTCAAACTTCTTAGTGTATATTGCCAGTAATACAGTCACATCTACACAGCTCAGTGCAGTCTTTTTCATGGGTTTAATAACAGGTTGGCTACAGCCTTGGCTACAGTTGCACCAGTAAAAGTTATAAAAACATATTATATATAAAAGGAGTATGCCATGAATGAACTATGGTAGGATTACATAAAAGAGGAATTGTCAGATTGCAGAGCATAGATGGCACTGAGCTAAATTACATATGAATAAGGAACTGCTGTTAGGAAAATAAGAGATTTACCATAAAGCACTTCACACTGCCAGGGAGCCTGATTTTTCCTGTCTGAAAAATACTAACTTGAGCAATCCCATTTATTTTTAACACAGCTGATAACCTTGTCAATCCAACTACAGACAACATTTAGTTTGTTGCAGCTAAATGTGAGGAATTTGTCACCCACTTTAAAGAGAGGACTGCTAACAGTATGCCAGGTATTTTCCCAGTTTCACTGTGCCATAACAGAAGCATCCAGTATACAGTGGGTAGTTTTGACCTGGTTGATGCTGAAATGCTCATGAAAGTAGTAACAAACTTGCAATGCAGATCCAATATCAACCTCTGAGAAAGCTTCTAATTCAGTTCCTGGGGAAGTTTTAACAATCTCTAATCACCTTTTACAGCTGGGTGTTTCCCCTCTGGCACCTAAAACAGCAAGTCTTGGGAAAAAAGAGCATTATAGATCCTTCAGCACATAGTAATTATAGACCAAATTCCAACCTCCCATTTTTAAAGGATAAGGCTGATTATCTTATTCATCCGTGCCACAGATCTCATTGTTTTTCAAAAACAATTAAAAACACATCAGTGAAACACACCACTGCACTGGGTGACATATTTCTTCATTTCCTCAATATCCAGAGACCTTGTGCATGGGCCCTTGACTTTTGCCTGCTTTGGACTCTGTAGAAAGTTATGGCTGTTGTGAGCCTTTGGGGAAATATTTTTAAAAATATCAGGGTCTTGTGTTTTTAATGAGGCAACATATCAGCTAGTGCAGCGATGTGTTTCACTGTGGTTTTAATCATTTTTGATGAATAGTGCAGGTCTATGGCACAGACAAATAAGCTAATCCAGGACTAACAGACATTAATTAGCCATGAGTAGAGGCACTTCATTGCTGATTTTATTCTCTTTATAGGAGGTGTTTAAAATACTGTTAATATAGAAATGACCGGCCTTATCCTTAAAAAAATTAAGATAATGGTATACACACAGTTAACACATTTTCTTAACACAAATAAGAAATGGTTGACAATGTCAGGACAAATCTAGATGCCAATAAGAGGCAGTTTTCTTACTATGAGACCCAAATGCTGCTTTTAATAATTCTTCACCAAATTTGTTAGAGTTGATCAGCAAAAGGTTCACCAAATTTATTTTAGTGTTCTTAAAGCCAGACTTGGAAATCACACTGAACTGTCTTCTTTTTGACACAATGATAAATTCTCTAAATCATTAAAATAATTATAATTATAGATTTTCTAACATATATTTGAAATGATTGGAGTATGTCGAGTGATTGGTAACTGACCAGTGCCTACTGGATATTATGAAATGAGCGAGCCTGAGGAAGCTGCAATGCAAAATGTGCTGCTTGCAAACTTGCACTATTGCATGCAAACTAAAGAAGACCATCTAGACATCCATGGTGTGCACTGGAATTTTGTATTTTTGTACCAATAGAAATAACTTACACAGTTCCCCAAGGATTTTAAGGCCACTACTTTTTAACCTACAGTATGCATGTTGCCCATCTGTGGTGTCCCCAGAAGGTACGACATCTCTTCCCATAGCTACAGTACATTGATTACACTGTTTTATGTGGCCATATCTCTCATGTCACAAGACCAAGTTGACTTTTTAGATGCATGTTAGATATGAGTACCCTGATGTCACAAACCTCTTTACAGCTCAACCAGGATAAGACTGACATTTTAATTAAAATTTTGATTTTTAGGACTTACTCTGAGGTAACAGGCCAGAAACATCTGTGTCATCTTTGACTTAGAGAACTGAATCTTCAGTCTTGTGGGGTTTGTCATCAAATCTGCTTTTTATCATCTCAAAAATATCACTAGAGTGCATACATTCCTCTCTGGGAGTCCCACAGAGAGACTGATTCACACTATCCAGCAGACTGGACTATTTTCATGCTAATTTCTATAAATGAGTACCGCAAGTTGAAAGGAAACGCGCTGTGAATATTAAGAACATATGATAATTTTGCCATAGTTACTAGAGCTAAAAGGAGGAGATTATTAACTGATTAACAAAAATTAATCTGCAACAATTTTGAAAAGAGATTAATTATTTAAATTATTCACCAGGCTAAGATGTCAACCATTTTCAGGTTGCATCTTCTCAAATGATTGAATTTTCTCTGACTGATATAAATCAATAAAAATTGAACAGCTCGGGGTCTGGGACTGTTGGTTGTGAAATATAAAGCAATTAATAAAGCCATCACAGACATCAACGGCATCACCTTGCGTTGTGGAAATTGGCATTTTTTTCACTATTTTAAAACATTTTAGAAACTAAAAATAAATACTACAGAATAAGATACCTGCTGACTGAATATAAAGAGTTAATTTTGCATTAAATGACACTTCTAGTGTACCAAATAAGCTTTGTTTAGTTTTCTAAGTGCAGTGGTGTTCTGAGAAGGCTACCATTTATTTCTCATGATGTGGCAACACAAAGAATGTGCATAGACCAACTCTGTAAATTCTTCTTATAATATATATATAGAATCTGTCAGCACAGTCCCCTGAGTCGGTGATGTTTTTCTAGTGTAGGCATGAAGAAACAGCAGCAATATAGTCACCACATGGTTGGACCACATGAAGGCATTATTATGCTGTTTGCCTTCGATGTTGTTTGACTGAGACATATTTCCAGAGAGCTGCCTGGACAGTAGTGAGAAATGGGGGATAAGCTGCAGGGGAAGAGTCCTTGCTCTGGTTGCCAGCCCTGAGCCTTTCATAATCGCCCAGGAATTATGCATGTCCCAGTAAAAGCACTGGTAGAGTGAGTTATGGCTGTGGTGGTGTTTCCTGAGAAGTCTGCCAAAAGGATGATTTAGACAGATCGTGTCTGGGATGTGGGGGTTCTTCAGACACTGTTTAAACATAAGTCTTTATTCTGAGGACAGAGGACTTTTGAAAGGCACTGAGTGAAAAACCCGTCACCTAACAGTGATATTTGCAACATGGCAACGATGACAGCAGAGTTGTTGGTTATCTGTTGTGAAGTTGGGCATTAAAGCAATTACTTGAAAAGACTTCTTTATCATGAGTAAATACAGTTCTTCATGTTGTCAGTGGCTCCACAACAAAGCCTGGGGTCGGCATTAATACCATCTTATTCGCTTAAAAAAATGTATTCAGTTTAATACATAGGAGAGTTTGTAATGGAATATGTATACATTCAGCTTAAGGAATGGTCTTCACACATTCCTAAAATAAACACAATTTACAACATATATAAAAGATGTCTAATAGTTTAATAAGTAAAAGCCTATTTACTTTTTGTTTTACCATACTGTACAATTCAATTTAAATGGTAAACCTGTATGCAATGTTTAATTTTCAGCTAAATATTAGTGTCTCTTCTGCAGGTCATTCACTTAACAATATAACAGAATGGTACACAAAGTTCACCATGCAATTAAAGAGACAGAAAAAAATATAACATGCTTGTTATTCATGTAATTTCACCATCCCTTTTAAAAGATTGAACTCTCAGAACTACATTTCCCAGACCACATACCAGCACTTGAATATAACAAACTTGGTCAGAGGTCAGGGGTACAGTACATTTGTAACAGTTTCTCAGATACAAACCAAGATAGGGTCACTGTGAAATCCATTAGCAATATGAAGCGCCCAGCTTTTTCCAAATTCACTGGAAAACACCCTTATGAATTGCTGCATTGTTTAATATTAAAACACTTTTCTTTTGTCTCTGTTCTGCCAAAGAAATCTATATGAAAAACCGTAGCAGTGTTAGTAATTTTTCTGATATTATCTAAATGAGGGAGTGCCAGTAGGTTACGCTCCATTATAGCAACTTGTAAAGAAAAAGGCGTGCAATTTAATGGGCTCCCTCTTCTTTTGCACCCAGTGGAAAGCTCACTGGTGCCAAGCTGATTTATGCACTCTTCAAAACACATCAAGGGTTAAAAGTCAAAGTCAATAAAGGTAAAACTTTCTTTGAAACACAAGGTACCGTACTTTTCTGAAGAAATGAGGCAGCTGTGTGGATAACAGATACATAATCCAAGCCTTTGACTGAAGATGGTTTGACTTATGAGGGTGTCCATAAGCAGCATTATAATGTTCATAGAATCTGTACTATAGGGAGGCATGATCAAATACAGGACAGAGCACAGAAAAAGGCAAACACTGGAGAAACGTCAGCCCTGTGTTGATACAGGTGTGCTCGCTAAGGCAAGGTGCTCAAAGGACAAAGAGCTTGCTAGAGACAAAGTAAGTTTCTTCTACACATCACAGCTTTAGCCATTTGGTGTGGGGTAAAATTTAATTGCAGAGTACACTAAGAAACTGAAGAATTGTTGTAATTTTGACCAAGCTCCTTAAACTGCACAAAACTAACTCAAAAAAGAGGAGCGAAAACATCACTGAAATTCCATTAGTAGGAAGGCTGTTTTCCATTATTTTAGCACAGCAATGTTATTAGAAAGTGTGCAAAAAAGTAGTGTCTGTATGAACACAGGGAGAGTGTGTGGATGGTCAACCCTTAGCTCAAAGGGCAGGAAACAGTCAGACTTCCACTGCCTTCATGTCTGCGGCGAGAACTCACCAGGTCAGGACAACAATGTGGTGGTGGGGGATGAAGGGGGGTCTGGGGGCATATGCTTGAGTGTGTGACACTATGTGTGCCATTCACACATTTGTGTACTTTACATGCTGCGTTATCTAGACCAAGGAGCAGTAACCGCCACAGGTTCCACCTCCTGCGTCTTCATCGGTGAGCTGGACTCCTCGGCCATGGTTTTCACTCTGCCATAAACCAGGAGTCTGGATGATCTTCTCCACCAGCTCCTCAAATGCACACTGAACACCGTCCCTGGTCTTAGCACTTGCCTCTGGATATAGAGAGGGAGAAATGAAGGAGTGGAAGGACATTAACGGAAAAAGGCAAAATGTTTTGAGACAAAAGAAAAAAAATGGTGTAGAAAGGCGAAATGGGTGCATAAAGGAGGAGGAAAATGAGGGAGAAAAGAAGATGAGATACAGATACTACAAATGTTAATGTCTTCATCTTGATGTCATCATCTGCTGGGCTGCCTGACTGCAGCAGCAAGTGGTGGAATATGTCTCAACAGTAACTGTCAGCTCCAGACACTAATAGTGGCCCTTAGGCAGTTATTAGGGGATATAGTCAACTCCCAATCCACAACATGATAATATCCAGAAACGTTACAGTAATAATCATTGAATCAAGAAACAAATATTTAGAAGGCCATTCAGAATTATTAGATTAGGAAAAATGCAATGGAAAGATAAAAAAAAATCTTAAGATTTCAACAAACATTTTTAAGGTAATGTTATTTTAATATTTTAATACAGATGAAACCTTTGTCATTTCAACTCCTAGGAAGTCCTTTACTGCCAAACGTGAAAAATAAAAGTGCGGGGAAGAAGAGAGCTCACAGAGAATGACATATGAAGTCCATTTTTTAAATAGAACTATGCAAGTATGATAGTTATTTCAAAACCTGGCCTTGTGTAACAGTCTGCTGTAACTCATGCCCAGCAGGTCTTTGTAGAGCAGGGAATCCTCCTGACTTACCTATAAAAAGCATGGAATGTTTTCTTGCAAACTTCAGCCCTTCTGCCCTGTCTAGCTCGTGGTTTTCCTATAACAAAAGCAAGGTAATGGCTTATTTAAGGTCTGCCAGGGCAAGCTGTCAGCTACTGTGGTCCTCACAGGGTTGAGAGGAAAAGGGATTTTCACAGACAAAGAACAGGACACAATAAATTCATAATGCTGTACTTAGTGGGCATTTTTATCCACGCTGGCTGATTCTAGTATCCTGGCAAACGACTGGCTGCCAAAAATATGAAAAGTGGAGCTGCCATGGTCATTTATTTCTGTGATTTATCAACCAGGTCCTGTTCTGTTGCAAGCAGGTTTCACAACGTTAAATGCACAGCGAAATGCAGAAAAAAATATTTTACAGATCTTTATTCCATTCAAACATATATTTTGTAATCAACGTGGAATGTCTTTGGTCTTAAGAATTCAAGCCAAACCAAAAGGCTAAACATTAAGGTGTCAACTGTTTGTGACAAAGTCTGTCAAAAGTTATAATGCATTTCTTCTTCCTCTTCAAACACTCTTAATCTGAATGGAAAAACAAACATTTCATGCACAACGGCAAATATTCTTACCTTATCAATTTTGTTTCCTACAAGCATTTTTACAAGGTCGTTCCTTGTACAGTATGTCTCCAGCTCATTGAGCCAGTTATCCAGCTTGGTAAAGGTTTCCCTTCGTGTGACATCATACACTGTGTAAAACCAAATAAACAAGGCATGCTCAAAATTTAAATCTATCATATAAACACACTGTTAATTTCCTAGACAAGTGGACCAGACGGCAGGTCCAAAGTAAGACTGGGAAAAGGACTTTTTTCAAGATTTTTCCATCTCTAAAGAAATCATAAAGCTATTATGACAATACAGAAGAATGGGAAATATTATATGAACATAATCATTGTACTGTATATTTAATAGACACTCACAGGTCATGACAGAAAGAGTACATTGTCTTGTTAACTTTAAAACCCTTTCTTCAAGACTGATTAACAAGCCTTGACCTAATAAACTTTTATACACATTTCAATTTTTGAAAAACAAACAAAGCATTACACAAAAAGATATTTAAATAAAGAAAATAATACAGTAGTAACTAAAAACACATTGTTGATAAAACCTATAAGGTCAAAGTTTTGTGAGAGTTATTAAATAGGGAGCTCTCATTATCTTTGTCACCTTCTGTTTCTACAGTGTCTGACTGGTCAAAAACCAAGGGTGCAGAGGAAGTCTGTTTTAGGGGTTTAAGTTCCTCTGTGTGTGTGTGTGTGTGTGTGTGCTGATGCATGCTGTACAGACATGTCCATATGAGGAGGGTATAAACTAAATTCCAGAGAATGAAGCACGAATGTGTGAGTGTGTGTGTGTCACAGAATGAAAAGCCATCACTCCATAAACACGGACCTGATTCTGAAGTGAACAGGGCAAACAAATGAAGGCGTCAACAGCTTGACTTACCCAGGATGACTCCCTGGGCACCGCGGTAATAACTAGGTGTCAGGGTTCGGAAGCGCTCCTGTCCTGCAGTGTCCTGCAAACACAACCACCTCAGCACTACTGGACACACACACAAGAAAAACTGGTGGCTCAAACAGAAGGCAACCAGGGTAGACTGGCTCCCTCAAGGTGTGTGTAGGCAGAAATGGTGTTACACAAGCGCCATCTTCTGGGTACTCACTGAGACTGTAGTCAAGGAAGAGTCTGACTATTAATGTCTGTGCTCTGACAGACAGAACCACGTTTGTTTAAATCTATGTTAATAAAGTATTGTAATCATCACAGAGTTTGTAACTTACCCATATTGCCAACTTTGCCTTGTTACCATCCACAGAAATGGTCTTCACTTTGAAGTCAACACCTAAAAGATGAATCCAGTCAATCAACCATACTCTTGAAATGACCTCATCCTGCTTCAGTATTAATATGATCACTCTTACAGCACTAGCAAAATACTGCCAAGAATATTATATCATGGCAAAAAGCTATAATTATTAATGATGAATTGTTGAAACTTACATACCACACAATGTCTCTGAACTCCTGTTAACCCCAACTATTCAGACTGGCAGGACGCCCATCCCATGTCCTGTATTTAAAATTATCGTGTGACTGTGCAGATCAACCATAAAAGCATGGTGCGGTTTAACGTCCTAAACTTAAACCAATAGGTCCATATGAAAAAACAGAAAATAAAACTCCACCACCTGTGAAATGGTTCAGACAGCAATTATTCAACCCTTAAAATCTTTGCCAGGTTCCAGAGGAACAGACATTTACATGAAAATAACAATGCTGTCCCCACCTCCCTCAGCATGTAAATCTCCTCTTCTGCCTTTATGCATGCTCTGTACACAGAGACATGCAGTGCCTGGATGACATATTAGCACCCACTGACAGATTTACCAGGGAAATGTACACTTGTGATGGGCTTGTTTTTACATCTGGGACTGGAGAGAGGATTTGACTTCAGAGCCCAAACAGAGGAGGGAAAAAGGGACATGAAGACAGGCTGAGCATATATGACAAACAGTAAGTATACCACACACTCACACACATATATATATGGTCTGTTCACACAGTCAATCACAACAACTAGCTCTTCCTGCAATGTTGCTTAGATACTGATGCCAGATGCATGTAAAGCAGAGTTGACACTAAACATTTCCCTGAACTTGTCTCTCTTGCTCCTCCTGCTTAATTTACTACAAATTCAGACCTTTCCCAGAGGACATACAGTAAAGCATCTGTTTGCAATATCACTGGATGCTACTACCACTCAAAGTCAAGGCTGAACTGATCTCTGTATGCCAAGTTGTTCATGGTAGACCTCAAAAGAGCCCTTTGTTGTACGATATAGGACAGCATCACAACACATGCTGTTACATTCAAAACAACAAAAGCTGCTGTGAGCAGATGACAAAGTGAGTCAGTGTTACCCTTTCTGTCCTTTACCTTTTCTAATGAGGATACCTAGAAATGATTAAGTATTACACTTACCAATTCAATTCAAATATATTTGTACAGCGCCAAATCCCAACAAAAGTCATCTCAGGACACTTTACAAAGTAAGATCTAGACCTTACTATCATTATTATTACAGAGGAAAAACCCAATAAATCCCCCCATGAGCAAGCACTTAAATGTCCATCTTCACTTCTCCCTGCCAGAAAAGCCTAAACGTCTAAGGCTAATTATTGGCTACGAGCCAAGGCTAAAGCCGCTTAGCCATAAATCAGAACTCCGCAACTATGGTTCGGGGCCACGTACCTGGGCAGGTAACACCATATTCTATGTTCATATCAATTACATTCAGTTTTATTTATACAGCACCAAATCACAACAAAGGTCATCTCAGGACACTTTACAAAGTAATATATCAGTTCCATAACAACCAACTTGGGACAAAAGCACAGAAAATAACTGAATCTATCCTTTATTGAATGCAAAGGTAGGTAGCTACATCCTCAAAGCCACCTGAAAATAAAGCAGATGTCTGTGGTGCATCAAATGACTTGTACCCAGGGGTTTGCAATATATATCATCTACAATGATATATTAATTGTTGTTTAAATTATGTGCAACCTGACATTATCAAGTTTGTCACTCACGTTACAAAAACAAAGACACAGAATCCACACATTCACTGTGTCATGTAGCCTAGGAGGAAAGACTGTGTTTGCTCTTAGTGGTCACGCCAGTGCAGCTCTTCTTCATACTCATTTGCAGGTTTTAATGGCAGTTGACACCTCTTCTCTCCAATATGAACATAAAACCAGTGAATTTCACCAAAAGGTTACATTTCCATTCTTGAATATGGATTGATATTCTACTAATACACCACCTATTTTCCAATGTAATTCACTTATAATTAAGAAAACTTAAGATCCTTGATGGCATTAAACTACTTTAGCCTTGAGTATGTGCTTTTTACCTTTAAAGTCTGTGGCTCGGTTTGAGTCCAGTGATGACTGCCTTGCAGTTGCCATCACCATCTGATTCACATAACCTTATCTTTATTTTACTGCTACTCACCTATTGTTGCTGCTTGCTCTGGGTCAAATGTGTCATCTGTGAATCTTAAGAGGAGGCTGTTGACAGGAAGAAGAAAATAAGGAATTTGGGACTCATTATGAATCACTAACACAGAATGGCTTTTTAAGTTCTTCTATTCCACACTAATCTAGAATCAGCCTGGATCTGTCTGGCTCACATTACTTGTCCTTCAGCACCAGACTTACCTAATTCTGCACCTCTATTGATTACTTTGTCTGTTACTTGAATTACATATACAAGCTTCAGATGACATCACTGCATGACTATGGTCAGCAGGGTCAGGGTTAATTCCTTAACTATGACTAATCAAGTGAAAAGACCTTAATCACACTGCTGATGATGGGGGAATGGGTTTACTCCTTTTCCTTGACACAAGCATAATTCTCCTATTTTACAACATGGGCCAAAATGAGGGATTCTGGAGCAATAAGTGTTTATTGTTTGAGATCCATCCAGGTGATGAGCTATGCTTAGAGACAACCAAGATGGAAATGTATTCTGTATAGGGCATTTGTTCATGTAATAAAACCTGAATACTCCTTGCCAGGAAGACATCTCTGTGATTATTTGAAGGCTTCTACACACTGCAAGGATACAAATCTGTAAGCTAGTGTGCCTACCTGATTCAAGTAATGACATCTGAAATTAATCACAGTCTGAATTAGTCTATTGTATTAAGCCAAAGCCTATTTAATGCTTATACAAATTTGTTTTCTGGAATCAATGAATGATTGCATGTCTCTTTTTTTGAAAAAACAAGCAAACAGTCTCTGTACAGAGTTGTCATCACAGCAAGCAAACTACAACTACTGAAGAAACTGTAAACGGAGAAGGAAAAGCATTTCCATAAATACACAAAGAGGCAGACGTCCAAGATTAGAATTACAGTAGTGTGTTATAATCAATAAATGATCTTACTAGGATCATGCCAAAAATGTCCAGAAGATGAAAGAACTTACAGAATAACTATTTCTGCCAACACTGTAGAAACATTATTGCTGATGTGTGATCAAAATAGCATAAATTATAATTACATTCAGACATCTGAGATTATTTACAACCTCTGTGCTAAGGCTTGGTTGATCCATAATGAAGGGATACTTTTCAGTCCTTGTTGACCATGATCCTACTCTTGGAATTAGTATACAAAAAGCCCTATAGCCTTTTGTGATTCATGTTGCATTTTGTTATTTAGTCAACCAAAGGCTTGTTCATCAGTGTGAACTGAATAATGATGATGATGATGATTTTTTTTGACAGGCAGTTCACTCTGCAAGAAGCTTATAATCAAGCTCTGGGCAGCTCATTATCTATGCGCCGTACTGTGCTCGATAAATGTGATGGTTGATGGTTGTGGTTGGCTACCGGGATTCTTTCACAAAGGTCATCTCACAGTCACTGGGACACAGTCACTGGGACCAACATATCTGACAAAGCTGCGCGTTGGCATAACGAACTCTATATAATAAACGGCCAAACCAATGCTGTAAAAAACCCCACCAAAAATCAGACCAATTTGAAGTTGCAAGCAAGACCCTCTAATTTCCATATAATGGCAAAACTGGGTGGTAAACCCTGTAATTTATCTATACTGCAATCGTGACATCTGAACAACAGATTGCACAATTGCAACATCTTCAACCATGGTACAACTGTAAGGTTAACATTAACTGAACAGACATCGCGGGTACTGGCTTACAATAATAGGGCAGGCAGGATGACCTTTTAAAATAACAATAAATAAAAATCGTACAACCACAAATGAGTGTAGCTCATTTTAAAAACTGCGTTACGTTCGAACCTCACAATATTTGGCTGGCTACTAAGCTAACGCTAGCTAGTTAACGTTAGCAGTGAGCCACGACATCAATTTCTTGGAAATAACTTCGTTTTACCTGGACTTCCCAACACCACTTTCTCCTATTATCAATATTTTCAGCGTTGTTAATATATCTTCCTCCATTCTCCCTTTATAGTGAGCCCCGCTACTCTCGGTAATTAACGTTGGCTAGTTACAACACACTGTTTACAACGACGTTCCTGAGTAACTCTTCGTGTTCTTATGATGTTTATTGGCGGTTTGCAACTTAAGGTGCATTACCGCCACCTGCTGGGCGGGAGTGTGGAACAATAATAGAACAGAGGGAATAAAAAAAAAAGTTATTAGAACTGCATTACCTACTAAATCCTATCCAAAATACCCATATCTGCCAAATAAATAATAACAATTTTATATGCTGTCTTACAGTTGCTGCCCAAAAGACTCTCTAGTGATATATTAGTAGTCTTCGTTTTTTTCCATTAACTCTATCATACAAACACGTTGCTCATTATAAGCACTGCATATAAATAAACAGGACATGCTCTGCAGTCTCTACCTGACTACAGTGCGGACGTAGACCTCCAGGGTGTTTACCTATTTTGTGCAAGACTGCAGACTGTGGTTCAGTGTGAAGAGCAGTTGTCTCCCCACCGGAGGTTCAAATCTCAGTGTCTGCAGTCCACGTGTTGAAGTGTCCTTGGGCAAGACACTGATCCCCCAAGTTGCCCCCGATGGTTAAAGCCTGCGGTTGAGTTGGTGCTGCAGATGGCTGCCTCGGTTCTGTACCGGAAACAAATTCCTTGTGTGTAACATACTTAGCCAAATAAAGGTCATTATTATGATTAGAAAGGGCCAAAGAATTATCAGAACAAATTAATCTCATACTAACCTTGTTTTCCTCCACCCACTGCAAAGCTAGTACTGTAGTATTGCAACAGTTCACCTGTAAATACTGACAAGCCATCAGATGTTCTTTCCCTTATAACTACTCTATGTTGAGGAATAACTACAACCGCACCTTTTTGACCAAACTCAAGATCTTTGGATCCATCATTAAATATCATTAATTTATGTTGATCTATAAAACCCACCACATAGGTTGATGTAGGAATATGAATTGTTTTGTCTTTCAGTTCCGCAATAAGGCCTAGATTCACCAGTTGCCTAGAAAACAACCAAGACGGAGTCGCCGGCCAAGAAACAGTTGGTCAATGCTTCAAATCAAGCAGACGTACTCTCTGGGCCATGAAATTACTGATCCATCCAAAGCTATATAAGTTGGACGCATTGTGTGCCCAGCAATCCAGTAATATTGATTTAGCAGGATGGATACTAACATGACCTTGCAGGCTAGCCCAGTAGTGTAACATAACTTTCAGTCTTCTTAATTTAAAAGGAGCTTCCCCAAGCTCAATCTGCATTGGGGGTGTCTTAAATGCTCCACTACATATCCAGAGAAGTTGAATCTGTTCAGTGTCCAACAGTTTAAGGCTGGACTCCGCTGCTGACATGTATGCAATACAGTCAGTTTTTTTTCTCCTTTTAGGATTTTATGGCGCATTGGCATCCAGATGTTGTTGCATTAGCACCCCTTCTGCGCAGTTGACAAATTACTTTATAGATGCTTATGTACTGTATCTGCTATGGTGGATTATGGATCAAACCTTACCCTCTATATCCACAATCATCCCTGTTCTTTTTAGAAAATTTAGCACAGTTGTGCTTCCTGAACTCCCTTGATGTCTGTGCTATTTATTTATTTTTCTATACTCCTTGCATTCATTATCAGTTTGTCATCTGTATACCTACTATACTGATATAAAATATGTTGTGCTGTCTCTGTGATCACAATTTTCAGTTAGATGTTTATTGATAACCTTATGTGGGATGACATTTTGTACTTTCAGTTTGTATATGCACACAAATGTCTGATGAGCTTATAAAAAAGCCAAAATGGTTAACATATAAAATTCATATACATATGAATAAATTTCTATTTATTTTGTTACTCAAATGCGTATGATTTATACATCATATCAGTTTTTAAAAAATTATCATCACTAGATTATTTCTACTGATTGTCACTCTTCCCTTCAATTAGCATTTTATTGTTTTCACACACTCTGACATTTAGGTATATGGTTATAAAGTATTACATAATTTGTGTGCATGTTATTATTTATTATTACTACAAAAATATTACTTCTAGGCTCTCACGATGCATTTTTTTTTGATAGAAAATATTCTCAAGTATGTCTAAAATGCCTTCAGGCATTACTATCATTGTGTCTACTAGACAGCTTCTTGAATATGAAGCTGACCTCCAGCTTTGACTTAATAGTAATAGGTTTTTACTCACTTTTCTGACACTTATTTTGGTAAGCTGAAGCTCTAAAACATGAAATTACACAAAAAAACCTAGATATGTATATGTTTTGAACAAATTCATATTACAGTAAGAGACATGGTTTTTGTACTTTATTTAATAAATAACTCATAAACAGCACGGGGACAGTAAAAGGTAGAAATGAAGAGGCACTTTGAAAACAATACTGTAAAGGCTTTTGTGTTGTACTTCTGAGGCATTTGAGTGTTAAAGATGATTCTTTTGACATCTGAACAGTTTCAGTCTTACAGTCTAAAAAACATTTCTATAACAAAACAGACTCACACAAACAGTTCACCAGTTCAATAAACAAGCTGACAGAAAACATATTTTTGGTGTACTTGATAAGAACACAGGAAAGGACCTGAGAATGAATATTAACTTTACTGCAGTAAGCTCATACATAGCAACATTTTCTTAATTGCAAATTGTACCATAACTATACAAATTCTTAGACTGTTGATCTCCACAATATCATTTCATCAAGTGGTATACAATCCCTTTGTGATAGTATAGCAACAATACAAATAATGATAGTCAATTTTAAACTTCTTCTTGTGTATTTAGTCCTTCAAGATAGACAACAGTACGCAATAAGAGTGCAATGCAATCTTAAACATTGGATATCTCTAAAGTGCAGTTTAAAACTACATTTACAACAAGCAACCACTGCAGAATCTACTGTGATTCAAAATATAACTGTCCAATCAAAGTTGAATAATTGAGATAATGTAATTTGGGAGCGGGCCCTGACCCAAGCTACACCTCTTCCGTTTTCACACTATTTAACCCACTCAAACCTCCATACTTCCACTTCTGCTTTTCAATTACCCTCATCCCCCCATTCTTCTATCTCTGCTGGGGTTCTAACAGTGCCCAAGAGTGGCGCGGACCTCCTTAACATTCCCCAAAACCGTCAAGCATGCGAGCAACAGAGTATTCAATATCCTCACAGTTCATTCATTTATTCATTCATCCTTAGCGAGGGCAGGTCCCTGCTAGTGGACTAAGTATTATTCAATACTTCCTGTTGCGCTTGTTTTCTGTACATACACACATTGGTATAATGTGCTGCTATGGCTGACAATTTACACATTAAACTCAGGCCCCGTCTGGAATGCACAGGAACTCACAGGAAGTCAGTGCACAGAGAGAGACAACAAGAGGGACACACAGAGACTAACTGTCTGAGAGACTGAAGCTGAGAGATTTGTGTACATGTAATGTATAATGCAATGTCCACATTGTGTTAAAACAAGATAAACTGCCTACCAGACCTGTGGCATCATTTCATCAAATCCTGTAAATATGCAGTTTAACAGTATATACATATACTGTTCACTGTACATCTAAAATAAAACAAATGCGTGTGTAAATCATAAGTGTTAGTAAAAATACAGATGCAGTGGCTGAATGGTACATTATAACGACAAAGCAACAAGAAGAAATGATGGATATTTCAACACCAGTTCCCCTTGGAACCCAAACAATCTAAATACTGCATATGTCAAATACTTCAAAGCAGAGTTCATTGAAAACTATGATGCCATCACTTTCCTTCATATTTGGGATTGACCACAGTCGTGACAGCACTTTTGTAGATGGGATTTTCACCCTGGAAAGCAAAAATTGTGGGGATCAGTTACATTTGTGTTATTATAAAACAACCATACAGTACAGCAGATTGTTATTAGTTCATGAGAATATTTCTCTAACCAATTCACCAAACCACACAGGAAAACTGCCTCATCATTAGACACAAGAACAGAACATTTGATGCGTTCTAAAATTTGACGTTAACTCATTTAGATCACACTCAGCACGCAGAAGTGCCTTTGTGATAAAACACCTAATAATAGGTTTGTACATACTCATGCAGTTTTTTCAAACAATGATGGGAATATTACTCTTCTTACTGTTCAATCTAGTTGTGTTACCTTGAAAAACAGAAGAAATAAAGACAATGTAGAAACTGAGTAAAAGCAGGGAAGTGCATACAGAATCAGTCCATGCAGGAAAGTCAAGCAGAAAGGAAAACCAATACAAACTTAAAGGACAGTAGCTTTACGTCCATAGTTTGGGTTCTGGAACTGATTGACAGGACTCTTGTAAATGGGGTTTTCTTGCTATAGGTAAAGAATGAGGACAGAATAAACTTCAGCAGGTAATAGGAACAGCAGCCAATAAATAAATAAATAAGATAATATATAATAAATTAAAATAGAAAAAGAAATGGAAAAAGGGGAGAAGGCACAAATAAAGTGGGACAATGGAGGAAAGATAACATGAGAAACAGAAGGAAATTGATGAATATAAAGCATAGTAAAAGATTCCCTGAACAGTGTATGTTTAAAGCTTTAAAAGATTTGAATACATTTTTCATTATTTCATCAAATGCTCCACTTCCATCACATACCTTAGGAAGCTTATACAAGTAATGTAGAAACTGGGCTCATTCACCAAATCAGTTTTATTTATATTAAAATAGTATAATGCTTTGTCTAACTTTGTTTACTGAGATTGTCATTGATGATCAAGTGGTTAGATTGTGTGTCTTGTGCAGTTTATAATTAATAACTTTTTCAATTGACAGCCCTTGTAGCCAAATTACAGTATAAGACACTAAGCACAGACATGTAAAGATAAATGTAGGAGAGCCAAACCACCCCACACTTTAACACTAATGCTAGTTTGGTGTTCCTTATTATTTTGCTGATAAATCTGAGATTCAAGTTGTGCTGTGAGATGGTATAAACCTTTTTCAAAGCTTCCTACCTCAATAAATCCAACTTAACACATTTAACATTATTATAAAATACTGAAAACATAATCAAAAGGAAAACATTTACACAGGTAACACAGTATTTTCACACATAACTACTCATTCCAGTGTTTATAGTAGCTTAAGTACACACTATGCAATAGCTGGCTTGTAAAATGAACAAATATACGACAAAAGTAAACACTAAATCAGGAGCAACGGCATTTGATTTGGGCACCACTGCGCATGAAAGAGCTCTGTTATGTTTGAACAAGAAACTCACTTCAAATAGAAGTCCTTACATGGTTGCAGACATACTAAAGTGTTTTTCATTATGTATTTTCTGTGCTGCACTTGTGAAGAATTGTGGATATACAAACCCTTACATTTCCCTAAAGCCAATAAGGAAGTATTGCTGCATATAATTTAACAAGGGCCAAAATTAAAGGGATCTAGAAGCACATGCTGCCCTATCATGATAATAAGGGAGGGTGCAGTGCTGATCCAGAACATCTACATCATCAAACAAAAATACACTCTGGATGTGACACAATACCACCACTAGGTGGAGGCATAATACTTCGCATAAGCTTGTGCTGAAATTCTGCTTTCTGTCATATTGATGTTGGCTGAGGGTGATACAGAGGAGAGCAAGTATAGAGGGGAGGATCTCTGGCCACTCCCCGGAAAAAGCCTAACTATGGTCACAGTGCATAACATTTCCAAAAAAGTCCAGTCTCTGACATTTTCCCCTTGTATTTTGATCAAGATACAAAGGCAACACATTCAGTTTGCTTTCCCAGATGTGAGAATACAACTGAGATACATTATGATATGAACATGTCTGTGACTCTAAGAACAGCAAATGGTCTTTACTCAGCTCAGATATTGAGATTGTGGACACCTTTAAATACCTGGGTGTCCACCTCAACAACAAAATGGATTGGACTGAAAACACTGATACCCTGTACAAGAAGGGCCAGAGCTGCCTCCACTTGTTGAGGTGACTGAGGTCCTTTGGTGTGCTGGGGGCACTACTTCGGACATTTTATGATACTGTAGTGGCATCTGCAGCTTTTTACACTATTTTGGCTTGGGCAGGAGGTAGCATAGACAGGGACAGAAAGAGATTCAACAAGCTGGTCAAGAGAGCTGGGTCTGTTCTGGGCTGCCCCGTGGACTCCATCGAGGAGGTAGTGGACAGAAGGATGCTGGAAAAACTGACATCCATCATGCATAACCCCTCCCATCTCCTGCACAACACAGTGGTGGTTCTGAACAGTTCTTTCAGCACAAGACTGCTACATCCCCAGTGTAAGAAGGAGCATTACCGCAGGTCATTCCTCCCCACAGCCATCAGACTGTACAACACATTGCTGCAGGGATAAGCTAGGTGAAAGTATGAGGGACTATGCAATGGTAAACACTGCAATACTCAATACTCACCATGCTTCTGGAGTCCCCCGGAAGCATGGTGAGGGTCATGTTCTTTGACTTCTCCAGTGCTTTCAACACAATCCAGCCATCACTGCTGAGGGGGAAGTTGGAGGGGGCAGGTGTGGACCAACATCTGTCCGCATGGATCATTAACTACCTCACAAACAGACCTCAGTTTGTCAGGCTGCGTGACTGTGTGTCGGACATGGTGGTCTGCAGCACGGGGGCATCCCAGGGAATGGTGCTTTCCCCCTTTCTGTTCACCCTCTACATGTCGGACTTCAAGTACAACTCCCACCACTGTCATCTACAAAAGTTCCCTAATGACACTGCTATTGTTGGATGGGTATCGGTGGTGTGAGGAAAATCGACTGGTCCTGAACACCAGTAAGACTAAAGAGATGGTGATTGATCCCCGGCGGAAATCACCTGCACTCACTCCGGTGAGCTTTCAGGGCTCAGTCATTGAGATTGTGGACACCTTTAAATACCTGGGTGTCCACCTCAACAACAAAATGGAATGGACTGAAAACACTGATGCCCTGTACAAGAAGGGCCAGAGCTGCCTCCACTTGTTGAGGAGACTGAGGTCCTTTGGTGTGCGGGGGGCACTCCTTCGTACTTTTTATGATACTGTAGTGGCATCTGGGCGGGAGGTAGCACGGACAGGGACAGAAAGAGACTAAACAAGCTGGTCTGTCCTGGGCTGCCCCCTGGATTCCATCGTGGAGGTGGCGGACAGAAGGATGCTGGTAAAACTAACATGCATCATGCACGACCTCTCCCATCCCCTGCACCATACAGTGGTGGCCCTGAACAGTTCCTTTAGATCAAGACTGTTATATCCCCGGTGTAAGAAGGAGCGTTACTGCAGGTCATTCCTCCCCACAGCAATCAGACTGTACAATACATCACTGCAGGGATAATCTAGGTGAAAGTATGAGGGACTATGTAATAGTCAACTGAGGTGCAATATTAATATGCACATATGTAAATTCTGTTCTTGATTATTCAAATACTTGATTCTGTCTATTTTTGAGTACTTGGAATTTATTTATAAGGATGTGTGTGCGGTGTTTGTTCTCATGGTGTTATGCTGTCTGTTCTCTATTGCTGCTTGAGGTACTGAAATTTGTTTATCAAGATATGTGTGTGGTGTTTGTTTCTCATGGTGTTATGCTGTTTGTTCTCCATTGCTGCTGAAACACTGAAATTTCCCCATTGAGGGATCAATCAAGTACCTACCTACCTACCTGAAATCCTGGGGTAAAATGCATGGTTAATATGTACATATATAAATTCTGTTCTTGATTGTTCTCTTGAATAATTTATGCTGTCTTAAAATCTGGAATTTATCAAGATATGTGAGTGGTGATTGTTCTCATGGTCTTATGTTGTTTGTTCTCTATTGCTGCTGAAACACTGGAATTTCCCCATTGAGGGATCAATAAAGTACCTACCTACCTACCTACCATTACAAGTTAATTTCCTGACAGCAGTTGGCTGTATATAGCAGCCAAATACCACCTGTTTTCCACATCTAAATGACCAAACCTCAGCCAAAACTCAAAAATAATTGCCTAGCTTATCTTTCACCAGAGGTGAACAGAGTTCCAGACACTCACTGTATCCCATTTGGCATTCATCTTCTCCTTCTCAAACTTAGCAAACTCTCTTCTGTCATGAATGATCATCAGTAGCTTCCAGATGAGCAGCAGGGCTAAGCCAATGAGCACTATGCCAGCAACCACACCAGCCACGATTGGGATAATGTCAGGACCGGTGGGGCAGTCTGAAACACATTAGGGTGCAGTTTACAAATAACAATGCAATAACAATAAAACCATGGAAAAACAATACCACATGTCTGATGTGAATAAACAACCGATTTCTGCAGCACAACCAACCTCAACTTTTCTCTGTAACAAAAACCTTCCACACTCTGGGTCATGTTAGCCCAGCCGCCTGCTTACCCAGCGTGTCGACCACATGGACCTCTTTGTCTGTGTTATTATTGACTGCATAGGTGAAGTAGAACCAGCAGTCGTTGGCGTCCCTCTCTTTGCAGTGCATCATAGGGTAAGAGGAGCCACTGGGCTGGGGCAGCTTGTCTCTGTCCTTCACTTTAATCAGCTTGAAGTAGCTGCAGTCTCGCTCACATGTATCCTTCCTCTCACCTGTGCCAAATGCGCGGCACTGGACGCACTCTCTGGAGACAATGGAGTATTATTAGTAATGAGCAGCACCATCTGCACTGCAATTTAAAGTCACACAAATTACAAAAAATTATACACTCACTTATTTCTAGTTGTGTCTATTTTTCTAGTTTATAGTTTTATTTACCAGGGTTTTCAGACATCTGCCTATTCTGTCTCCACCCTGCTACAACTGACAGGAGGTGAATTACTTTCTGCACATACTGAACAATGACATCTTAAAACAATTCAGCAGCAGCTTTGCTTTACAGAAACAGTCCTTGCTAACCAAGTCTGACATTGTGAGCTCCCTGGCAAACAAAACTGAGATAACCAAGTCCTTTTCTTATTTCATGAAGTAATACAGTGCCTTGCGAAAGTATTCGGCCCCCTTGAACTTTGCGACCTTTTGCCACATTTCAGGCTTCAAACATAAAGATATAAAACTGTAATTTTTTGTGAAGAATCAACAACAAGTGGGACACAATCATGAAGTGGAACGAAATTTATTGGATATGTCAAACTTTTTTAACAAATAAAAAAACTGAAAAATTGGGCGTGCAAAATTATTCAACCCCCTTAAGTTAATACGTTGTAGCGCCACCTTTTGCTGCGATTACAGCTGTAAGTCACTTGGGGTATGTCTCTATCAGTTTTGCACATCGAGAGACTGAAATTTTTGCCCATGCCTCCTTGCAAAACAGCTCGAGCTCAGTGAGGTTGGATGGAGAGCGTTTGTGAACAGCAGTTGTCAGTTCTTTCCACAGATTCTCGATTGGATTCAGGTCTGGACTTTGACTTGGCCATTCTAACACCTGGATATGTTTAGTTGTGAACCATTCCATTGTAGATTTTGCTTTATGTTTTGGATCATTGTCTTGTTGGAAGACAAATCTCCGTCCCAGTCTCAGGTCTTTTGCAGACTCCATCAGGTTTCCTTCCAGAATGGTCCTGTATGTGGCTCCATCCATCTTCCCATCAATTTTAACCATCTTCCCGGTCCCTGCTGAAGAAAAGCAGGCCCAAACCATGACGCTGCCACCACCATGTTTGACAGTGGGGATGGTGTGTTCAGGGTGATGAGCTGTGTTGCTTTTACGCCAAACATAACGTTTTGCATTGTTGCCAAAAAGTTCGATTTTGGTTTCATCTGACCAGAGCACCTTCTTCCACATGTTTGGTGTGTCTCCCAGGTGGCTTGTGGCAAACTTTAAACGACACTTTTTATGGATATCTTTAAGAAATGGCTTTCTTCTTGCCACTCTTCCATAAAGGCCAGATTTGTGCAGTATACGACTGATTGTTGTCCTATGGACAGAGTCTCCCACCTCAGCTGTAGATCTCTGCAGTTCATCCAGAGTGATCATGGGCCTCTTGGCTGCATCTCTGATCGAGAATCTGTGGAAAGAACTGAAAACTGCTGTTCACAAATGCTCTCCATCCAACCTCACTGAGCTCGAGCTGTTTTGCAAGGAGGCATGGGCAAAAATTTCAGTCTCTCGATGTGCAAAACTGATAGAGACATACCCCAAGCGATTTACAGCTGTAATCGCAGCAAAAGGTGGCGCTACAACGTATTAACTTAAGGGGGTTGAATAATTTTGCACGCCCAATTTTTCAGTTTTTTATTTGTTAAAAAAGTTTGAAATATCCAATAAATTTCGTTCCACTTCATGATTGTGTCCCACTTGTTGTTGATTCTTCACAAAAAATTACAGTTTTATATCTTTATGTTTGAAGCCTGAAATGTAGCAAAAGGTCGCAAAGTTCAAGGGGGCCGAATACTTTCGCAAGGCACTGTAAGTACATTAGCTGTGGGCTACAATTTTTGACCCATATTTTAAACCTATATTTGTTTCATTTTTGTAAACTCTTATGAATGGGCTATTAATAGTTCTGGGTTGCAGTGTATCCATGGATGTGCAGACAACTATCAATGAATTACTTTGGCACTGAAAGAATATTAAAATGTCATGATTCTTAGGCGAGTTCTGGATTTATGAGGACCTTCCTAATTCTGTGATTTCTAAGCAAATGTATGGACATTTATTTACTTCAGACATCAGAGGCAATGATATCTTTGGATGGTGTAAGTGACACAAGTATTTAATATATAAATTTCAGAGACAGATACCACAATACCTGGATAAAACCAAAACTATCTACAGTATATAGAGATACATTTAGAGGCAAGAGAAGTTTTTTATTCTTAATTTGGCACTCAATAACAATAACAACAACAACAATAATGTATTATTATTATTACTATTTTGAATTGCTTTATTAAATTTTTTAATTAAAACAAAAAATAAAATATATTAACAAGACATAAGACAAAAGAAAGGTTACAGGCATGACATGTAAATAAAGATAAACTTAAATTATCTTAACATATCCTTTAAATGTGAAAATACACCAAAATAAATATTAAAATATGCCAATCTAAAAGTATTTTTTATATCAACATGTTTTTACTTTAGACTTACTTGTGTTCAGTGCAGACTCCTGGACAGGTGGGACAAATCTCACAGGTGGGACCCTGGAATTTGGGGTCAGTGCACTTACAGGTGCCACATTCACATGTTCCTCTGCCATTACAGATCTGTTCGTTGCTGGCCTTACAATCTCTGTCGCTCAGAGAACAATCACAGGCACTTCCGGTCCACTCGGAGTCACAGATACACACTCTACACTCACAGCGTCCATGCCCTAAAAAATAAAAAAGTGCCTTTTCTCTTTCTAAGCACGAATTCTAGCCTTTAATGTATACAGCTTTTACTGCAGTGAGTAAACCCTAATCTTGAAAAAGGTTTTTATTCTTTGTAGTACAAATATACTCACCTCCACACAGTTTGTTTCCAGAGCGGTCACAGTTGAAGTTGTCACACTCGCAGTATTGGCCACTGTACCTCTCGTCAGGGTTGTCTCTCTTCTTGCACTCACATGTCCCACACACACAGTCTCCATTGTTGCTGCAGATGTCAGTACTATTGTCTTTACGGCAGGGGGGGGCCATGTCCCCTTTTGCCCCACCGCT